TCAAACCGGCAAGGAGCGGGGGCAGGAGTAGTGTTAATATCTCCTGATGGGGAGATATTGGAACAGTCTATTCGATTAGGGTTCAAGGCCTCTAACAATGAGACAGAATACGAAGCATTGATTGCAGGACTAAAGCTGGCAGTAGCAGCAGAAGCAGATGAGGTAATAATTTTTTGTGATTCACAACTTATAGTGAATCAGACAACAGGAGAGTTTGCAACCCAAGATGAGAGAATGTCAGCCTACGCAAATGAAGTCATCAGGCTGGCAGCCTTGTTTCGTAACTGCCGACTTCTTCAAGTTAGCCGAGATGATAACAGCCACGCCGACACATTGGCCAACTTGGCAAGTTCAATACAAACTGGAAAAACAAAGACAATAATGATTGACTATTTGTCAATCCCGAGCATAGAACCACCAATCACAGAACAAGAAGCAATGTGTGTGGACTTGGGACCAAGATGGATGGATGCAATTGTTGCATTCCTAAAAAAGGGAAAGCTGCCAAAAGAGCATAAGGAAGCACATAAGGTCAGATTAAAGTCGGCAAGATTCAATCTGATAGCGGATAGACATCTCTACAGAAGGTCTTTCACTAGACCCCTTTTAAGGTGCGTACACCCTTTGCAGGTTGAAGATTTTCTATATGAAATTCATGAAGGGATTTGTGGAAGCCACGCTGGGGGCAGATCGCTAGCTCACAGGGCCATTACCTAGGGGTATTGGTGGCCCTACATGCAAAAGATGCAGAAGCCTACGTGAAAAAGTGTGAACAATGCCAAAGGTTCACACCTTTAATACACCAACCAGCTGCTGACCTGAACCTTGTATCCAGTCCATGGTCATTTGCCCAATGGGGCATGGATCTCATTGGGCGGTTGCCCCAAGCAACTAGGCAAAGGAAGTACTTGCTGGTAGCAACAGATTACTTCACGAAGTGGATAGAAGCAGAACCTCTTGCCAAAATCCGAGATGTGGATGTCAAGAACTTCATATGGAGAAACATCATCACCAGATTTGGCATTCCAAGAGCAATAGTTGCCGACAACGAAACGCAGTTTGACAGCAAACTCATCAAGAATTTCTGTGCGAAATTCAAGATAAAGAATTACTTTTCAACACCAAGTTTTTCCCAAAGCAATGGGCAAGCAGAAGCATCCAATAAAGTAATTTTGGATGGGATAAAGAAGAGGCTGCATGCAGCAAAAGGAAAGTGGGTAGACGAGTTGCCTAATGTACTCTAGGCATATCGGACTATGCCGAGAAAATCAACAGGGGAAACCTCCTTTGCCATGGCTTACGGCACAGAAGCAGTCATCCCATTGGAGATCGGCATCCCAGGGATCAGAACCCAGGGAGTAGAGAATGGGACTAATGACATACTTCTAGCCCAAGATCTAGATCTCTTAGAAGAAAGAAGAGAGAAAGCTGCAATTCAGCTCGCAGCATACCAGCAGCAGCTTGCTAGAGCTTACAATAAGAAGGTTAATCCAAGGGATTTTCAGGTCGGCGACCTAGTCCTAAGAAAAGTTGTTGGCAACAAGAAGGATCCCAGAGAGGGCAAGCTTGGCCCAAACTGGGAAGGACCCTGCAGAATTACTTCGGTATTATGCAGTGGAGCATACCAGCTTGAAGATAATGAGGGCAAAGCATTGCCAAGACCCTGGAACACTTGTAATTTGAAATTTTTCTATCATTAGATGTTCCTTGTTATTTTTTGCCGACGTCATCAATAAAATCATTAGCAAAATTCTCCAAGACTTGTGAATTGACAAAAGATGCATAATATTGTTTCTAATTAATGAGAACCCAAGTGGAACTCAGGTTCACATTGGGGGCAGAGAGAAGACAAAATTTTTTATCTTCACTTGTTGAAATTTGTAACAATTTACAAGTTGAAGTTAAACCGAAGTAATGCTTAACGCTTGTTGAAATTTGTAGCAATTTACAAGTTGAAGTTAAGCCGAGATTATTGTTTATCTTCACTTGTTGAAATTTGTAGTAATTTACAAACTGAAGTTAAACCAGAGTAATGCTTAATGCTTGTTGAAATTTGTAGCAATTTACAAGTTGAAGTTAAATTGAAGTAATGCTTAACGCTTGTTGAAATTTGTAGCAATTTACAAGTTGAAGTTAAGCCGAGATTATTATTTATCTTGTTGAAATTTGTAGCAATTTACAAGTTGAAGTCAAGCCGAAGTCATTGTTCAACACTTGTTGAAATTTGTGGACAATTTACAAGTTAAGTTAAACCAGTATGATGTTCAACACTTGTTAAAAGTTTACAAGAAGTTTGTCTATCCGAGGTGTGTCACCCTGAGAAGATTATACAAAGAAGGAAAAGTGTGTGAAAGACATGCAGAATATTCTAAGTATAGAATCATGCAGAAGCAATGAAGAGAAGACAAGAGTACAAGCACTTAGAAAAGAAAAGTTGCATTAGTATTCATCAAGAAAAGGGCACATCGGCCATTCAAAAGGCTTATATTGTTCCAAAAGATAAAAAAGAAATAAAATACAACTAAGCAAAAGAAAAACATGAAGCTAAGACTCCTCTCCACCAGTTGGTTGAATTTGAAGATCAGATGATTGTTGAGAAGACATCTCAGCAGCCTTATCCGTCGCAACCTCGGCGTCAATTTCTGCAAGAGTGTCATCAAGGTTCTTATCAGCACGGATGGCATCGGCTGATTCCTTCTCATCAGCAACATCTTTGTTAACCTCATCGCCTTCTTCATCTTGAGTCAAGTCTAAGACTTGCTCATTTTGAAGAGGGGACTTGGCCCCACCAGCATCTTTAGATTTTCTTACCAAAGCCTCATCCTCTTCCTCATCACCATCCTCAGACTTAGATTCGCCGACATCTTGACTTGGAGGTTGAGCTGGAGGGAATGGAAGAGAAATGGCATCAGCTTTCCTCAGTGGTGAGTCCTTTGGGACATTAAGTTTTTTTAGAAAGGACATCCAACCAAGGGTGAAACCCTTGTTGCATGCCTCCTTCACTTGTTGTTCGTAGTCATCTGTAACGTTGGCCATGCCTTGGGCATACGCCTTCTCGTCGGCGTCTTTTATTTCGGCTTCTTTGGTGGCCAGTGCCTCCTAAAGCACCTTTTCGGCTTGGACCATTTTTTCCTCGGCTTCTCTCTTCTGAGACACAGCGACTTTCCTGATAGCCTCAGCAGCCTCAGTAGCCTCAGCCTTCTCTTCGGCATTGGTCTGAGCTTTGATTGCAGCCTCGACTTGGTCCTCCAGTTTTATCATCTTTGATTGAAGACCTTTGTTGGTCTTTTGGAGGGAAGAGAACTCCCTCTTCATCTTGACAAGCCTCTCCCGATTCTCAAAAGACTGCATTGAGAAAGAGTGGGCATGCTGGATGGCCTGAAAGAAAACAGAGGTATTAGAGAATATTCAAAGTACGAAATAAAAAGAAAGAAGAAAATTACCAAATAGAAGACATCTACCTGAACGGAGTGCTGAAGCATTAGAGCGTAATTCTCATACTCACTGTACTGGGCGTTTCGCTCCAAATCGCCTGGTAACAGCAGAGCAGTACTGAGCGCAACGCCGACATTAATATCCTCGGCACTGTCACTTACCATAACAGGCTTGTCTTCCAGAGTAATTGAGGGGGCCCAGGGGCATCAGGTTTTTTTGATCCCGAGGTTGTTGCAGAAGAAGACCTCGGCTTTTTTGGGTTTTGGGATTCTGGTAGTTGAGACTCAGAGCGCCTCTTCCCAGCAGAAGGCAGAGATTTATCACTCTCAGCCAACTTTGAGATCGGCAAGGTGTCTTCAGATTCAACCTGAGCTATCTTAGCCTTTGGTTGAGCCTTCTTTATTCTTTTCGGCTTCGGTGGAGGTTGGGTTTGTGCTGGTTGATCATCAACAGATGATGGAATGCTGGCTAAGAGGTCTTTTGCAACTGGTTTTGGGCGGCCCATCTCGGCAGTAAGGACAAGTCGTCGCCAACGTTTTCGTTCTGATATTGGGACCAGGTATAGAGCCGAAGTTGATGGCTGATCAGTTAGATCGGATGTTGATCCTTGATCTGTTCGTGATGTGGATGCAGTCAATGGAGTTGTAGCAGAGGGTGGAGAAAGGCTTTTCTTCTTCCTTTTGGGAACGTCGGGCAAAGTTGACTTATATGTTGGAATAAAATTGAGAAGCACAGGCGCTTTCGTTTTATGGACTGGCAAGTCCAAAAGTTTCTTCAAATCCTTGTTGGGAACAAAGGATTGGCGAAATTTTTTCGGTGGCTTACGAACAACTGTAAGAAGAATAGATGTCAGAAACAGACAAAGTAATCAAGGAAGAGGGTAGAGATGGATGTCCTCGCCTGGAGCAAACTCCCAATTTCTCGTGGTAATGAAATAGTCATCTCCAGCCGCCTTGTTGGAGTCTGGGAGGTCGGCTACGATTTTAAATTCTGTAGACCTCGGCTTAAGGTAATAAATGTAGCCTTTTTCTTTCAAATTAAGGGCACACATGGTATAGGAGTACTGGATATCGGCTATGGTGATCCTAGCATTTTCCTGTTTAGCTAAGGCTATGATGCCATTGATCACTCGGTAGGAATTGATTGCCCGTTGCATGGGGTTTAACTTATAATAGTGAAGAATCTCACGAAAAAGGATGTTGAGTGAGAGCCAGAGTCCGCACTCAGTGAAAGCTACAATGAGAAAGGGCATCGAATCATCTGTGGGCATGATAGAGTCGTTATCTCCAGCTAGCCTCAGATGGACATCGGCAGGGATAGAGAACTCTTGCCTAAAGTACTCAAGTTTGGTTGGGGTATCTACCCTATGTCTCCACATACCCATGATATCGGTCTGAATTAGAGAGGTTGGATTTTAGAGAAAAAAAGTTTTAAGAGGATTAATAAGACCTTGGCAAAAAACCTAGGTTTGAACTGGTGCCGAAATTTGTAAGGGATGTTTCAGTTTTTCCTAAAATGTGGGTTCTACAGACAAATCCCAAACCTAAAACTATGGAGATGAAGATCAAAGGCACAGATCTGGAAAAGACACAAAAAACAGAAAACAAAGGCGAAGTTTCAGAATCAAGAACAGAGGTGGACTATCAAAAACATGAAGAATACAAAGGGTTGAAGGCCAAGAACAGTGGCAAGACGTGCAAGAGAACTATGAACAATACATGTATTCAAGGCATAAGCAAAAAGTAAAATCAACACATTCAAATGTATGATTCACAAATTAAATGTTTGAGCAAGGCAATAATAACAAGAAATTCCAGAAAAGATCAAGAACTGGAATAAGAAGAAAACAGTTGCTTACCGGAAAATATGAAGCCGGTGTAAAGATCGCTGAAGTCAGACGACGGTCGTGGAAGCAACAAAATGGTGCAAAACACGTCGGAATGGGTGAACGGAATAAGTTTCAGAGCAAGGAGGCTTGAACAATGGTGGACTCGAGAAGAGGAAGTTAGAGAGAGAAAAAATTTTCCAGAAACAAGAATAAAGTGAAAGGGAAAATTCGAAGAGGTGTTTTGTTGAAAATGAAAACGGCGGCAAAAAGTAATCAATACGCTTGGAAGAACGTATGCGTCAGACGGCGTACGTGAAAGAGAGACGGCTTACAGGCGCGTCACAGGTACGAACCAATAAGAAGGAAACGCGTGGTTAAAAACGGTTGAATTATGGTGTATGACAGCTCATACACGTGAAAGAGTTCACTCGAATTCTTGTTCTCTGAAGAAAACATGTCGGCCTGAAATGAATGATCTCGGCTGAGGAGTTCTTGAGCCGATGTACAGAAGGAAGTACCGATATAGGTTCCATCACCTCAAAATGCCGAGGTAATAGAACCTAGGGGGCAATTGTGAGGATATATTTTCTAAGTACCAACATGTAGCAAGGTGACGCCGATGTGTCAGCCGAGGTGCCACGTGTCCTGATCATTATGCCGAGGTTATCTCGATGTTGCCGAGGTTATCTCCGAAGATATCAGAATTCGAGATAAACAGATAAGGGACAAGAGTCCTAGAATGAAGAGGAGACTTAGTCAAGATGAGGATAAAGCTCTTAGGGAGTTTATCTTTATCTCTTGAGGAGTCCAAAGTAAGTACTGAATTGGAGTCCATAGAAGTCAGGCTTCTAGTGGCACTAGGATTGAGTTAACTATAAAAGAGAGGCACCCCTGTGGGTCTAAGGTATGTCTTTTATGCTTTTGATACTCAAGCTTGTGAGTTTAGCGCTTGATTTATCTTTGAGAGATATATTGACTTGATCGTCGGAGTGCCCCCGGGTGGACGAACCACCTCCGGAATCTTTTCTTTCTGTTGTAGGTCAGCCAGGTGCCATCTATTCTACCGATGCTCTCCAGTTGAGTACTAAGTTGGCAGTGTGGTCGAAAATTGACCCACACAATAATTTTTCACTTTTATGGTCGGGTGAGTCTCATTTTTCAAAAAAGTTTTTTATAGCCATAATAATCAAAGGTTGTGTTAGCACCTCATCATCATAATTCTAACCACTTTAGTTTAGGGCAAATTACGGAGATAATCTCTGTAGTTTATTCGTCTTATTATTTTGATCTCTGTTATTTTAATTTGATTAATTCTATCTTTAAATTTTACAAATTGTATTATATTAGTTCAATAAATAACGACGATTAATTTTGATGGACGGAAAATCAAATGGTATGTCAATTTAGTCCCTGTAGTTTACAGGATGTGTTAATTTGGTCTATGTTGTTTTAATTTTCTTATAAACTACAATGACTAAATTGACACATCCTATAAATTACAGGGACCAAATTGATACATTATTTAATTTTCCGTCTACTAAACTTAACTGCCGTTATTTATTGGACTAATATGACAAAATCCGTAAAATTCAAGAGTAAAATTGATCAAATTAAAACAACAGGAACCATTTGCATAATTTGCCTTTTAGTTTATTGAAAACACATCATGGACACACACACAAAAATAAATAGATAAAAGATAGATATTTTTTTTTATTAATTTTAAAATGTTTTAAACTTATTCACATGTAATATTTTTTTAAAAATTACTCATTCTGTTTCAAAATAATAGTTCCTTTTGGAGATTTTAATTCTTTTTGGTAGTATAATTATTGCACTTTTAAAATTTTGATTTTTCAAAATTACCCTTTGATAGTACATTTTTTGAAAAATATCAATGTCATAATTGTACTTTTTATGTTGTTAATGAATTTAAAAGAAGAGCAAAATAGGAAATTTATATTATTTTTGTATTTGATTTTTGAAAAGGGACTAATATTTTGGAACAATGAAAAATGGAATAAAGGACTGATATTTTGGGATGGAAGGAGTACTTTTATTTTAAAATTATTGTTCACCCAAAAATTAAATGTAAACCAATGTCTAGCATTTCAGCAGAAATATTTAAATGGATATAAATAAAGATGTGTTTTAAAAAGATGGTTAAAAGTTGATTTTTTAATTTTTTTTTTAAAAATGTATAAAAAATGTGAGAAATGATGTGATCAAAAATAGATTAAAAGCTGGAAAGTAACGTTTAACCTACTTTTCAAAAAAGGCGAAACTATGAAGTGAGTTATTAATGAAGAAAGCGACCACACATGGTTTTTCATCATTTTATTTCGACTAGGGCTTCTCTCCAGTTTTTTATCGGACTGAAAAAGTACTGTTGGGTTTTGTAAGTTCATTTGTAGCTTCCGTTCTAATAATTCTAATCGTTTATATTTTAAAATTTATCGAGTACATTATTTTTATAAAAAAATTAAGTCGATTGGATAACGGAAATTAAGTGTTTGAATAAGTTTTGTATGAAAAAATAAACGATAAGAAAAATAGACAGTTCATATAAAATTGATTCGAACATATAATTTTTGTTATCTGATTGATTTAATATTTTGTAAGAATTATATACTAACGAATCTTAAAATGTGAACAATTCAAAATTTTAAAACAGGATCAAAAAATAAATTCATTGGGTCAAACTAAACTTTCCAATCCAATTAGAAAACGAAAGGCAATCCAATCCCTTTTACAAAAATGACTTGGACCTCCAGTGGGAGACCCTCACTGTTTTTTTATTGGCTCAAAATTTTTATTTATTTATTTATTTTTTTCTTCTGTCTTGCTCTCATAGCCCCCATGTGGAGGCGGGGATGCTGGGGTCACCCCCACTAGGGTCCCTAGCATTGTTGTCCCTTTTATTTACCCATTAGCTTCGGATAAGATATAAATTGTTGACTGACCCCTCCGTACTATTTTGTTTTTGTTATTATTATTATTTTTTTTACACTAACTTCATTTAAGATTTAAAAAAAATATTAAGGCAAATTACACTGTAACCCCAACTATTATTGCTTTTTACCACCCCTCAAACTAAAAATTAGTACAATGTATCCTCTTCATCTTTTAAAAATTTTCAATCAAATTTTTATGTCTCAATTTTGATAATAAAATAGACAGAAAATGTGCATATAATGTGCACATATTATATTTATGATGAAAATATTCTTTAAAGACCTGTCAAAAATATGATATGTGCACATTACATGCACATTTTCTGTCTATTTTGTTAACAAAATTGAAACTTATGGGTTATATTGAAAATTTTCAGAAGATCAGGGATGCATTGTTTTAATTTTTAGTTTGAGGAGATAAAATAAAATTAAAAAAAGTGATAGTTGAGAGAGTAAAGTGTAATTTGCCCAAAATATAATGACTACACAAGATTAACATAATTATACTATACTCTCTTAAAATTTAAATTATTGTGGTCAATTTGAAAATTTATGAAATTTTCAACCCTCTACCAATTCATGTGCAACTTGGATGGGCTCAACCAGAGGAACCCGAAGCCAATCTGAATTTTTTTAGAGGTTGGACAAGATATTTTTAAATTTGGTAAGCGCTTGGGCAAAAATTCAGAAACCTAAATTAAATTTGGGCAGACTTGCGCAAAGATGTCAAACAACCCGAGCAAATCGAAACCCGAATTATACATATATAGATATATAAAAATATTAAATATACATATAAATTATTAGTCATTACATGATATTAAAGTAATTTAGATTATTATATCATATTGAATATATATTGTATATACAAATAATATAAAATCTTACCCTCTTTTTTTCACTCATAAATTGTAAAGACTACTATGGTGACATATCTCTTACATTATATAAATTATTTGTTTTGATGGTATTAATGATTTTTTATAATAAAAAAATGTAAATAAAATCAAATTTTAATA